ATCGTGGAGTGCGTACACAAGGTGGGTAAAAAAAAAAAAAAAAAAAATCACAGTGCAAAGCCACTTTTCAGGTAGCAACCCAAGAAGTATTTCTGAGTTTTGCACCTGTGTATTGCTAAGTATCCAAGTGAAGAAATACTAGCCAGCCACCATTGGCTCTCACACTGTGACTCTTCCCAGAACAGCTGTGTAAGCTAGCAACTACAAGGAGCAATGGTAGGAGAGGTATATTGAGCTAAGGCAAGAAACCACCTTTTCAAGGTAGCCCTTGTACTAAGCTGTGTGTTACAGTCTTGTCACTTCCATACATTTCTATATCCTTGTCAACACAATTCTGTTTCCAGTTAGTGGTGGGACCAAATTATTTCCCCTTTGTTTTTTTCCTGAGTCACCTATTTATGTTAACCTTATCATTAATGGTAACCTTCATCTTTCACCTTACTAATTTAAAATATATATTCTAAGCAATAAACTCATGCAAATACTTAAAAGACTGTATTTTTAGACCAGTGCTCAGATGAAACAATAGCAAAAAGGAATTTAATACCATTTTCTGTTGAACTTACCTCCACTTTCTCTGTTAGCAGCTCTTTGCAGGGTGTCTAAGTGCTGGGACAGTTCAGGAAGCTTCATTCGTAAAAGATCTCGAAAAACAGCCATATCCACAGAGAGAGCACGGAGATTATTGACAAAATAGCTATCAGGAAGCACCTTATCAATTAGGTAAATCATGATCTGTGGGGAAAATGAAATATAATCATGTAGGACTTGCAGAACCAGTTATTTTCTAGGAATAACAGAAAAAAATATAGAATTTTAAACTTCTCTGTCCACTAAAGAATGGCTTGGAGCCAGTGGCAACACATGCCTCTGGTATCTCCATTTATACAGGGAGAAAACATCAACATTTAGGGACCCACAGGTACTCTAGGTATCCACAAGCAACCAAGGTGCAAAGGCCTCTCAAAGGTGTCCAGAATTCATGAACCATTAATGACTGAAATCAGTGTCACAGTAAGCTATGCCCAAATTGGAAGCATTACCTAAACCGAAGGCAACTTTTGGCACTTCTGATGCTGCACACGTTTATGAGATTCTCCACACTGTTGGAAAGTTCCACTGTCCCTTCTCTGGTTAACTGCCACAGCTAGAAGACTGATCTTTCAAATTATCTTTTTTTACCTCTCCAAAATACAAGATACTGTTCTTTAAAAAACATTCTCCACACATTTTACTGTGATGTGTTACCATGTGCTGCACTTCATCTTGTCACTTTAAAAGGTGCTAAATTAAGCAGCATGAGACACTTTAAACAGACATCTGTTTCAAGTGAGATAGCTCAGCTACATGGGTGGTAATGTATTAACTGGATACTGTCAATCTTTTAAGAATGCAGAACTTTTTAAGCAGCTCTGCAGAGAAGGATCTGGGAGTGCTGGTGGACAACAAGCTCTCCATGAGCCAGCAACATGCCCTCATGGCCATGAAGGCCAATGGTATCCTGGGGTGCATTAAGAAGAGCGTGGCCAGCAGGTCAAGGGAGGTTCTCCTCCCCCTCTACTCTGCCCTGGTGAGGCCACATCTGGAGTTCTGTGTCCAGTTCTGGGCTCCCCAGTTCAAGAAAGACAGGGGACTACTGGAGAGAGTCCAGTGGAGGTCTACGAGGATGATGAGGGGACTGGAGCATCTCTTGTATGAGGAAAGGCTGAGAGAGCTGGGTCTGTTTAGTCTGGAGAAGAGAAGGCTGAGAGGGGATCTCATCAACACTTACAAATATCTAAAGGGTGGATGTCAAGAGGATGGGGCCAGACTCTTCTCAATGGTGCCCAGTGACAGGACAAGGGGCAATGGGCACAAACTGGAACACAGGAAGTTCCACCTGAATATAAGGAAAACTTCTATACTTTGAGTGTGACCAAGCACTGGCACAGGCTGCTCAGAGAGGCTGTAGAGTCTCCTTCTCTGGAGATATTAAAACAATTTAATATAGCAATATTAACTTACAACTATACTATTTGTGTTTTAATTAATTCCTTACAATATAAGCAATAAATCCCTACCTTAAAGAAACCATTTTATAAAGACTTTTGCTCCCTTCCCATTGAGTGGTATTACTTTAGAAATTTCGGATATATGACAGCATAGGAAAGAACAGAAATCTTTTTGCAACACTGAAGTCCATTCTATTTCACTGACGTGTGAAATCTTTTGAGAATGCTTTTTTTAAAAAGCAGCTTCATGTATTTACAACTTTGCAATAAATACCTTATTCATGACACATGTCTATGTATTCATTTTTATTATTTGACTTTGTAATATTTCCCCACAAAAATGTGCAGGAAAAAATGTTTTTTTAAGTTTCAGTATCTATGAGACTTCCATGCATACTTTGATAGCTTCTACACATGCAAGTTGTGATTTTCTTGCTTACCATAGTATCAGCAGGCTAACTTTGAGGTGTCTCCAGGGATTTAACTTAAACATGCTTTACTTCACTAGTGAAGACTCAAGCATCCCTGGCTGGGAATTCCCTGAAGCTACCTCGTTGGGTCCTGGCTGTTAAAGCCCCATGATGTCCATAGTACCAGCTTTTTCCTGACCTTTGGGAGACACTTCCCAGACACAGAGCTTTTGTTTATAACATTCTTCCCAGAAAGGAGAGCTGACTGACGAGCCCCGAGAATCCCCTTGCTCCCTTAACTCCTACACTCTGCAATAACCCAAATATAGTTTGCCATAGCTCCAATCCTGAGGACAGCCTTACAGGCCACAGCCTCTGCAGCTGTTCCAAAGTCACTCATCACTTGCTTTAGATGGCACAGTGACTACAACAACAGAACAGCCACATGCAAACCCCCAATTCCTTTCCCCCGCCCCGTTCCTCTCCCCACTGCCCCGCCTTTTCCCTCTCTCTTCTGGGGAAATTCCAACCCTGTAAAGCCCATGCACTAAGCTTAGACAAAAATTACTTTATTTTCCATTCTCATTTTTGCCTGGTAAGACCCATTTTGGTGCTAACAGCCTTCAGTGCTTTATCTCTCCAGGGCAGTCTGGTGCCATTTCATTGTCTCCTTAGCACAAGGAGCCTGACACCGCCCTCGGTAAAAGACAATCCAATAACATAAGGATGTACACAGTTCTTAAAATCAGTTTGGACTTCATAAACCTTGGGGCAATCATATTTCCTATATCATCATAATGTGTTTTAGGAGCTTCTGGACAGTATAAGATCACAATAAAATGTGACAAATTATAGTTGAAAATACTGAGGAATTTTTTAGCAAGAATTATTGAAAGAAAATTTTACTCTCTGATATAAAGTAGGTATATTATGGTATTTTCTTCCTATTACAAGCAGCTCTCTACAATGAAGTATGAAATACCAGCTAGCTGGACTGTACTACCAAAAGCTTTATATTTTAGGAGCTCTGAGGGAATTTAAATATTTACCATATTTAAATTATTGTGTAAGGCAAAACAAACAGCTGTATCTCAAGAGTCGCAGTCATCTTTTACTAATTTGATCCCATCTCACACATATGAGCAAGTTTACTTAAGGAAATTTCCACATGATCTTGGCAAACCTTCAACCACGTCCTGTAGTAAAATATATTTCCATTTTCTGACATAGTATAAGTTTCATGAAGCTTTCTTTTAATTAGAAAAGTTCTAAAAAAAATAAAACACTCTATGACTAATGCAGCCCAGAAAGTAGCTTCAAAGTGATTTGTTTTCATTTTAAATATTTATTTTTTTGTTTTCCTAGAATTTGCTTTAAAACACAGCAGATTTATTAACTGCCTCACAAACTACTGTCACACAAGAGGCCCATAATGGCACCTGAAGGTTTCAGCTACCTACCAATGGTGTTTGGAGGCAGATTTGGGATTATGGAATAAAATATTCTAAAGTTAGTAGCAGTGTTCCCACTTATTTTTCCTATGGCCAAGCCCTCATTTTTTTCCTGTTTGAAAAAAATGTTAACAGTGATAACATACAAACTGTGCATTTTAAGTCAGAAAGGATAACAAATAATCCACAGATATAAATTGGTTGACTCCTTTGAGTCCTGCCCTTTTAGGCTGCCTACAAAATCCACACACTGGCTTATTCTGAAGTTCACTAACTAAAAGCAATCTTCAACATTGAAAAAAAAAAAAATTTTACTCACTTTCAGGGCATCCCCTTCATTGCCCTCCATGACTTCCAGAATAAGTGCAGCTAGTATGTTAAAACCTTGACAATAGCCAACAGATTTATTCCACCTGGCATAAGCCAGCAAAACACGTTTTAATACCACTCGATCTTGCTCTGCCTCCTGGCCACAGTAAGAACTGCAACCAGTCCGGTGAAGGTCCTTTAAAGAAAAAAGGGAAAAAAAAAGACAAGAACAAAGAAAATATGCATTTTCCTTCCCTGTTTAGTTCTCCTGCCTGTCCCAGTTTTCCTTCCACCTCTACCCTCCCAGTACACACTCCCAAAGTTGATGACAGTGTTTCTTTTTTGATCTGTAAACCTTTAGCTTACTGAAGAGAAATAGGTTCAGCGAGCTCTTAAGCAAACAAGTTACCTAAAAAAATGTTCATATGAAGTTGTCACAGAATGTATTAACAGATATCTACATTTCAAAAAGGCAAGACATAACAGCTGCTTAATTGAACAAACAAGAGCAACGGTTTTTATTGAATTATAAAATACCTGCCAGGCAACTCAGTTTTCAAAACATTTAAAAAAAAAAAACAACCCAGAAACAGTGTCCTTGAGATTTAAGCGATTTATAAGTGGGGGGCAAAACATGTACTACAGTTGTTAATATTTCATGAGTTATATCTAAAGGCTCAAATTACCAAGTACAGATGACAACTGTAATAATCAGGAACACAAAATATTTTGCTCCACGTACTCTAGTTAAGGTTAGTAAAGAGAGGTTTACTTCTTAAGTAGGTAAATAGACTATAGGCAATTTTTTCCCAGCTAACAACAACCAGACTAGTGCAGAAGAAGGATCAAAGAAGCCAAAGAAATCATTTTGGTGGCCCAAAGGGAATTAAGGTATAATTTTTTCCCAAACAGTTGCAGAAAACAAAATAGACCAAAATTCCATCTATTAAAAAAAAAAATCACTTTTCATTAAGAAATTAAAATAAACTAACAAATTAGTTGGCTACCTTTACTATCTGGATGCCCATAGAGTCATCATCAGGATTGCTTCTTTCATTGAATGTGAAACGCATGGTTTTATCCCAGTCAATGGCTATACTGTGCAAGTACTGATCAGCTAGGGTCAGCCAAACCTACACAAGTACACAAAGCAAGTCAATAAAATTAATTATTTCTCAGATAAAATATTAACAGTTTTCATATATATCATTAAATGGACCCCATGAGCTTCACCCATACAAGATCTGCTGTTAGACTTAAAATACGCAGAACTATATCTAAAACAATTTTTGCACAATTAAAGTAATACCTGACTTCCTAAAACAGAAAGGAAGGAAATAGTTAGCATTAAGAGTCCAGATCTGTGAACTGCTTACAAAGATGCAAGTCCGTTGTCAGAAACTGAATCCACAGGGGCCCTCCAAGGTGGAAGCCCATCCTCCTGCAAGGACTCTCCTGGTCAGTTCAGCCCTTTAACCTCATAACCAGCAAGGAGTTTTATAAAAAGGTAATACCACTGCAGGCTTTCCTCAAACTCCACCATGGATCTGTCTCCTGGAAACCCCCACCAAAGAAATCTAGTGGTGCTTCTCTCTCCCAGAGGCCTCTTCTGATCAGCTTTGCAGAAGAAATAGTGTCCAGTATCAAGCATTTGGGATTGACCTGAAAGTGTCACTTGGATCAGAGTAACTGACTCTTACAAGAGGGCTTCCTAAACTGTTGGTGCTACAGGGAGTTCTGAAAACAAACATTCTGACTATTTTTAAAGCCTAATAATTACCAGAACAGATTTAGGCACGTGTATCTAAAACAGAGGCTGGACCTTTATTAAACACTGAAAAGTTTCTGAACTATGAAAGACCATACAATGACAACAAGTCAGGATCTCTATTGGAAAGGAAATTGAAAGAAATCATGAAAGCAAATTGGTCGAGTTTTATATCAGCCATTAACTCACTGAAGTGAGAAAAGCAATTCAGACACTTCCCACAGATTTAAACACTTAGATAGTTAGTTGCATGATGAAGGAATTTATGGGCAGCTCCCAGTATCTCATGTTTTCTGCATTTAAATGTCCCTTCCCACACTTTTGCAAAGCTTTTCCGCTGTTCTGCCTCCCAGCAGCCTTTGGCACTGCCGACATCCTACTGATGTTGTTTGACTGGATTCTTTATCTCTGCCAGCCCCAGAAAATAAATGTCACGTGCCACAGCAATAATGCAGATGCCACCCTGCTCCTTCTGCTGCCAGCAAAGGAGGCAGTCAGCATGCTGCTGAAACAAAATGCTTCCTTTATTTTGGTATCAATCTTAAAATCATTGGGAAACCAGGGAATAGCAGTGAAAAGACCCTTTTCTTAACACTACTTCTTTGGTTAGCATCACGTGGTCACCTGTGAGCAAACACAGAGAATGGCAGAATGAGAAGGAAAAGACAGAGATTTGAGTTGGATGATGTGGCAGAACATACCCTCAGCAAGTCTGCTGATGACACGAAACTGGGAAGAGTGACCGATAAGCCTGAGGGCACCTTGACAGGCAGGAGAAATGGGCTGACAAAAACCTCATGAAATTCAACAAGGAGAAGTGCAAAGTCCTGCACCTGGGAAGGAACAACCCCAGGCACCAGTATATGCCAGGGACCAAGCAGCTGCAAAACAGCTTGGCAGAGAAGGAGCTGGGGGTCCTGGTGGACACCAACTTGACCATGAGGCAGCAATGTGCCCTTGTGGCAAAGGTGGCCAACAGCCTCCTGGGCTGCATCAGGCAGAGCACTGCCAGCAGGTCAAAGGAGGCGATCCTTCTTCTCTGCTCAGCCCTGGTGAGACACACCTGGAGTGCTGGGTCCAGTCCTGGGCTCCCCAGTGCAAGAGAGATGCAGAGCTACTGAAAAGAGTCCAACAAGGGGCCACTGAGAGGATTAAGGGAGTGGAGCATCTCTCCTATGAGGAAATGCTGAGAGCTGGGACTGTTCAGCCTGGAGAAGAGAACGCTCATGGAGGATCTTATCAATTTGTATAAATATCTGAAGGGAAGGTACAAAGAGGACAGAGCCAGGCTCTTCTCAGTGGTGCCCAGTGACAGGACCAGAGACAAGAGCACTAACTGAAACATAGGACGTTCTGTCTGAACATCAGGAAACACTTTTTTACTGTGAGGATGACCAAGCACTAGCACAGATTGCCCAGAGAGGTTGTGGAGTCTCCTTCCTTGGAGATATTAAAAAGCCATCTGGACGTGGTCGTGGGCAATTGGCTGTAGGTGGCCCTACTTAAGCAGCAGGGTTAGACCAGATTAGCTCCAGAGATCCTTTCCAACCTCAACCATTCTGCGGTTCTGCCACTCACATACCACAGAAAAGTGTCTGAGACTTACTGGAGTGTGGGAAAAGAACATTTCAGGAAGGAAAAAAGGCTGTTAGATGGATGCAATGATTCACCAGAGTTGTAGATTAAAAACACGATCATAGTGGTGTGAGGAAAGTGATACCACAGTAAGTCTTCTGTTCCTCTTTACAAATCAGGGAGAAGGAAACAGTTCGGTTTGGAAAGATAGCAAGAAGATAGCAAAAAGATCTGATGCATCAAAAATATATGGAACTACATGTATTTTATAAACCTTTAAAATATTCTTTTTATTAAAATTACATTTTTAAAGCCGAGATCATGTGACTGACTTAGTTTTATAGAAAAGATGAATAGACATGCCTTATTTTAGACTCGGGAAGTGTTGCTAAAGAAAGCAATAAAGTAAGTTCAGTAAAATCCCACTGGACCCTTTCCTACAAAACTACCTCTGCGCAATTTCCCATCAATGGCACACTCTACCATTCTACATCACTCCTGACTCTGAACTTCCCTAATATAAGCAATCTACCTTCCCCCCATCAAACGTTTCTGTGAACATTCTTGTCAGCACTAGCATCTATCAACTTCACCTTCATACGTATGACAGCCTACACTGGAGATTTGCTCTCCTTTCAGTTCGTCTTCAGCTGCGGGGGCAGCTTCACCACTGCAATTCTTTGAGACTGACAGAATGAATCAATAACATCTGCACCAGAATAAGTTACCTAAGCTGCAAGCGGAAAGACCCCGACTATTGAAAACACCATCTTGACCTGTCTCCTCAGTCTCTCCAGCTGCCTGTGAGAATATCACTGAAGAATGTAAACTAGGAAAAATCCTCAGTACAACTTAAGCTTAAAACTTACAAATATTTGTTAAAAACCACTGATAATACCGATGTCATTCACCTCTCTCCTGAGAAACTCACAGGCATTATGTCCCACAAAGCATGCAGGTCTACCTACCTTTCTCCGCCATTCTTTCGGTATGCCTGTCGGCAATCTGGCCACTGCTTTGAGTGCATCATGCCACTAAAAGTAAAAGCATCCAAAAATCCACCATTAGTTTAATGTAACAGTATGGAAACATTTGCAACACTGCAGACAGGCACATTCATTTCATTTTACTGCACACATTTCAGAGTTTAACTGCTTAATCCACTCACAGGGAAAACATAGATTCATTACTTAATGATGTAACAAAAATGTAATATTCTAGGACATAAAGACATATGAGATATCTGAGTAAACAATGAAGGCCTATTGCATTTTCCAAATACTAATGGAACAGCTCTTGATGCAATTGCAAATAATATGCTGATATTATGATGACAGATGCACTTTTGAACTAGGGCAAGTACCTTCATTGAAGAGAATCCAGTCCTTCATAAACTCAAGAGAAAAATGAATCAAATTACCTGCTGAAAACCATTTTGACCTAAAGATGGTTCAAGAGTGAATTTCAGTTTTGTATCAACACCTAGGAAAAAAAAAAAAAAAAAGGAAAGAAAGAATAACAATCATTATTTTCATTTAGCTCAGAAGGGGAAAAAACCCCCACAACTGAAATAAGAACACAAGATTTCAGCTACAGGTTTCAACAACTACATTTCAACCTGTTTCTGTGAATTCTTGTCTTCATAGTGGATTCAAGGCACATGTTAAGAAGTACATGGACAAGTTTTTAAAATGCAGTAATACCCTCTTCACATTAACAATGTTGTTTGGCACAATTTATTTCACTAAAAATCACGTACTTCACTATTCTACAAACTATATTTGTACATTGCAAACTATCATATGCATCCACAGAAAAAACCAGAGACACACACAAAGAGTTTCTTTCCATTTCAACTTCTTGGCATTAAATCACTCAATACTCATTTCTAACTTGGGGTACTAAAATTATTTTATTGCTCAAAATATCAAATTTTTTATAGTTCCTCAGAACGTAAAGCACATTTGGTCAGTATTTTCATTTAAGCTTGGATTTTGTTTTGGCCATAGGAGCAAATTATTTTAATTGTTATAAAGCATGCCTGCAAATAGTCTATAATACAGAATATTACATAAAATACTATGATCTGAAGTTTGGTCTACACTAGATGCTGATTATGGCACTTGATTATGCCATAACACGAGGAATAGTAACAGTTTAAATTCGCTTTATATCCCCCATTTTGTAGGTACAAGTCTTTGGGCCTTCAAGCGCCGCTGTCCAGAGCCGAGGTGCTGAAGACCGCGGCGCATCCCCTCCCTCAAGTCTTCTGGCACGAAGAATAAAGTCTTTCTTTATTTTTCCTCCATAATTTAGTACGATGTATTGCTCCATATTTTAAAATATGTTACGTATAGCTTCTTGTCTTTTAGAATATCAAGCCAAACATTTTTAATATTTATTTTAATAGCCATACACACACACACACATATATATTAAAAAAAAAAACCAAACCCAAACAGATTTTAATCCTGCAAGGTTTTAAGTATACAAAATCCATGCTAATCAACTCACCAGTAATACTCAGTGCTTCAGAAGACTAAGCCTGCGAGTCTGACAAACCCAAAATGTAGTGGCATTTGCTAGTTATGGAATGTAAAATGTCTTTCAGAGTTTGCATACTGAAGTGGTGATAAGTAATTCAAAAGCCTTACTGCCTGATAAATATATATTTAAAGACAAAGACTTCTCCTTCAAGGCTTTTTTCTTTTCCCTTTGGTGGTGGAGAGGGAAGAGAAAGAAAGATCATTCACACAAACCCCAGTATTGTTTAGAATTTTAGCATTTTAGAATTGCATCACTGAGATCAGTGCTTTCATTTCCTTGCTTCAGATTTAAAAAAGCATGCTTGTCAGATCTAGAAAAATAAAAGCTTCAAACCATAACAGAAATGCCTTGAAAACATTTAAGGATTAACAGTTATTCCTGGAAGTAACTGTTATTAGTATTCTTCCCCATAACTCCATGGCACTCAGCAGGGACTCCTAATAGATAAGTCTTTCCATAATAATTCAAATCAATGTAACAATGCCAGTAACCTCCTAAGATGAAATTGTATCACGTTTGCTGTAAATGCAAAAAAGTGAGTCTCATTCCCAAGCAATCTTGTGGTATGTACTGGAAAATCCTAATACATATAAAAAGATATCATGACCAAGAACTCCTTTTGTTAAGGTAATAGATGTTGACTTGTTATCTAATACTGCCTTGTAGCTAAGACACCTTCCAAAATAATCATGTATTCATTTCCAACTCAGCAGCCAAATATTAATCACTTCACAGTTTTCTAAGACTTAAAGATCCCAGTAACAACTTCTCTGTCTTATGAATTTCATAAGACAGGTGCAAGAAAAGATGGCCAAGTCTGCAAAAGATCAAGCACAGTAAGATAAAACCACATGAACATCATGAACACAGAGGTCACACAGGGGCCCTGATAGCTGTCTCTCTTGATTAAATGAGACTGAAATGAGACCCTTGAATCTCCATCTACAAAAGTTTATTAAATCATGGCAGACAATTAAGACAGGTGTGAAAATTATTAGAAATGAGAATAACATCCCATGGTAACACCAGACCACATGGTACTCTCTCTTCAGCATGGCGAGGAACCTCTCAGTCAGGGCATGAACTGTAGCCTCTTGTAGAAGCCATGGAGCCTGCATCCCCTTATTTGTTCCCAGTTAGAAATATTGCCAAAATCAAGTTCTGTGATGGTTTTATGACAGGAGAGGGGAAGAGTCATGGGAAGTGAGCCATAGACCATACAGGAATGGTTCCTCATTTCTGTCCCACTTTAAAGACTTTACATTTCCCAAAACCAAAAAATTACAACCTTGTTCAACAGAAATACAGCAAGTAAGCAAGTAAAAAGAAGCTGCAACATGAACACTACAGACAGAGCAAGGAAAGGCTATACCCACCCAGGAACTTCTTGGGGCATCTGCACGAAGGCAACCAGCAAGCTGGGAGCAGCACCTCACTGCCTGTTACTTGTTTCTGGCACAAGAATCATCTTGCTAGGTGCGGTTTCTGCACTCTTCTTCTTCCCAAACCTTCCTACATCCATCGTTTCGCTTCTCCTAACAAATCTCCCATCCCTGCACATACTTCTTTTCTTGCACTCAGTTCTGTCATTTTCATCCTGTCCACTCTTGCCTGGATCATCACCAGCCTTTCTCCAGGACCTCCTTCCACATACCATCTTTCGTCCCTTACACTTCCATTGTGTGCTATGTCTTACCAGCCAATCCCTTTAATTCTGCATCCAGTTGCCTTCTCCCAACAAACTAACTTAGATTCCCTGATACCTTCTTCCCCCCTCAGTACCCCACACCTATCCAGCCCTTCCACAGACCTTCTACAACCATTTTCACTGGATTTCCCCTTTTTTGTCCATCCTCTATCTCCAGGCCACATTCCTCTCCATTACATAAATACATGCTCTTTGCTTTTTTGACCCTTAGGGCCTTATGAGAACTTTTTTACACAGCTCCTCCGCATGGACAGCCTAGTTCCTACTCTTGGGGACTGTAAGTACAGTCAGTACAACTCAGCCCTTTTACATCAAGCCAGCCAGGCTCTAGTGTCATTTGACACATTAAGTATCACCTCCAGGTCATAAACTTTCAATGGATACTTCATACTTCAAAAACATATTAGCCCATGTATGCAGGAATGTTTTGGGAACACATATGAATTAACTACCTAATCAAAGGTACAGCTGTTTGGCACAAGTCAAATTTCTGAAGGGTAAGAGAATACCAAAATATAGCATGTTCAACACCCTTGCAACCAGGTCACCTGAAACCAATACGGAAAAGATATTTAAGAAAAGAAAAAAAAAAAGAGGAAAACCCCACAAAACTCAGTCCTGTTAGCTTTCCCATGTAAAACACACTATGACTCCTAACAAAAAAAAGGCTGTAAGAGGGAAGATTATACCCCTAGGATTCCCAAACCCTAGCAGTCTTGCACTGCATGACCAAAATGTAGCACAGGATCACATGATGAGCCACAAGACAGGAGAAAAATGTTGTGGTCAGCCAAGTACCTGGGTTAAGGAACCAAATCCCCACTCCTCAGCAACGTTAAACAAAAGGATGGGGCAAAGTCTGGGATTTTTTAAGAAATACTAAACCAGAAAAAGTGTATGAAGATGATCTGTTCTGATGCACGTACAGGAGCTATAGCTTCAAACTTACGCAGCACATCACTAGGTTCTTGGCTGTACTTAAAAGCAGTTGTTGAAACCTCTCCCATGGAAAGCAAATAAATATTTTATTGAAAACAAATGAGGAAAAAAGCCTAAAGCAGCTTTGTGTGCAGTGGGAGTCCAAACTTGGGGAAAAAAAAAAGGCAACGTAAACTACCACCTTATTGTCGCTTGCTGTTTCAGGAAGATTCTTAGCCTTGCCCTGTAATTTATCTCTAAATGCAGATTTTCATCTGCAAAATGGGAAATAAAAGTAACACCCTGAGCAACTCTGCATGAAATCACTTTTGCCAGGAGCCAGAGCTCACTGGGATGTACCAAAGCACACCTAAAATCTGCAATCTACAGAAACTTCTCAATACAGACAGCTGATACAGACACTGTGTCTGTCTCCATCACTCTCTGAAAGCATGCATCCTGAATGATGTTACTGTACGTACTTACATATGAACAATATGGAAACCCCAACCCAGTGGGATTTCCTAACTTTAAGACTATGGCATTCATGGTTAGATCATTCATGTCTCAGATCATTTCCCCTGGTCTTTGTGGGAATGTAAGTAAAAGAATGTCACTATCCAGATAACATCATTACCTGGGATATTAGAAGATTACTGTAGAAGCAGGGGGCTGTGAGAATTACAAGTCAGGAAATCTCTCTGGTAACAGCAACCCCATAAACCTATACCATATCTGAGACCTTATTAATAATAGCATCTGAAACCCACCTCAAACACAGAGGCAGTCAGCACTGTGTGCCTGATGCACACACAGCTAGTACAATGGGAACCTGAACCTTACACATTTCTATGCATTGCGCTCTCATTATTTTAGTAGAGCTCAAGCTTGCATGTTTTGCAAATGTCTAGGACTAGAGAACAGCTCAATAATGTTTTATCTATAATTAACAGCTCTGACACTGCAAATTGAATTTAAATTTCCAATACTTCACCAAAAAAAAAAAAAAATCCAAAATTTTGATGGCAGGTAACTAAGAATTTAGTATTCAATAATGATCACCTGTCAGTGCATCTGCTGAGAGCCCATTGCCATGGAGCAAACACACATTGTTGTCTGATCACTTGGCCCTTAAAAGATTCTGGATCCTGCTTCGGGACCAAAAAAGCTGCAGAGCTGATGCCTTTCCCCTTCCGAAAGGCACGGTTACGAATTTAGACAACACCCTACCGCAGACAAAGGCTGGGCGGGAGGAGTGCGCTCCAGCAAGCCAAGAGTTAGCAGCTTTAGCGGGAAAGACCTGGTGAGGCTGAGGGGAGAACGCAGGGCCTCGGTGGCTCGGCCCTGCAAGGGTGACCGGGAGAGGCTTGCGGACAGGAGCGGCACCGCGGCCCGGGGGAGAGGGGAGGGAAGCAGCAGGGACCGGGCACAGTCAAACGGCACAAAAGCCGTTGCGAGGCGGCGACGCCGGGCGGGAGGAATGGGGAAAGGAGACGGGAGAGCTAAAGAGCAGAGCCGGATCCGCCGGGTGGGGAGAGCAGGAGGAGCCCCCCGGGGAGCTCCCACAGGGCCCG